CTAGTGCTAAAAAAGATCCTAGAACCATGTATAAAACTACCCTCGCTAGGAAGATCCTTGTACTAGGGACTAACCAGACAAAAATGGCGGCGGGCCGTTGAGTGTGTAATCACGGCAATTAAGTCCGACCATTTCGTTTGGCGTTACCATGAGCTGAGTATTGTGATGATTCTGCTGAAAAGTAACGCCAGTAACGCCAGTAAAGAGAGCAGAAGGGTCCAAATTGCAGTTAGTTCTTTAATCCGTTTTCTACTTAGTGACCACATGGAGCAGAATTTTTTCATGTGAACCCAACGAAAAATTGTTCCGCCTTCTAGGGTCTCCCTCGATGTCAATGGCCCATTAGAATATAACTGTTAGCTTAAGGGTAAAAATGAATTTGAGCCACGCACTCAAAACGATATTCTGGTACTTGTCAGGTTTATTTCGTAAATTTCAGATGATCTTCCCAGGCTGCTGGGAGTCAGGTCCCTAGTCACTTTATCAGGGGCTTGGTATATATACATATAGTATTTAATTTTGCTACAAACTGCACCGATAACTTAATTCAAGAAACTTTTCTCTCAACTATATCAGTCTTTTTCACTTGCTCTTTTGACCTGAGGCCAAGGTCTTTTGGGCACAGGTACAAGAAATACGTATCAGGGATCCTCAAGGATTTTTGGAGTATCTCGTCATTAGAAAAATAGTCGAGTTAACTCCTCACTCATTACAATCACTGAGTCAATCAGTCAACCAGTCAGTCAGCAGTCAGTCAGTCAGCCTTCAGCCATTCAGCCAGCCTCCCAGAACAGTCAGCGAGGCAGTCAGTCAGCAGTCAATCAGTCAGTCAGTCAGCAGTCAGTCAGTCAGTCAATCAGTCAGTCAGAAGTCAGTCAGTCAATCAGTCAGTCAGTCAGCAGTCAGTCAGTCAATCAGTCAGCCAGCCAGCCAGTCAGTCAGTCAGTCAGTCAGTCAGTCAGTCAGTCAATCAGTCAGCAGTCGTCGGTCAGTCAGTGATTTGCTCTGACAAAGGATTAGCGCTCGTAATGTCAGCTCTAAAATCTTTTTAAGTGATTAATTGACATTTAATAACTATGACTGTATATTTGTTTTTCACTCTCCTTGCTATCGACACACCACCACGTTGAGGGCAACGAAAACTTCGAAAAAGCAATAGTTAGACTGAAGCAGAGCAACAATTTGCACGTGTAGTACACCTTTTTGTAAATTTTTTGGCAGTCCCTGCACGACCACGACATTTAACCGACAACGACAATTTTTTCCCTTTTGAAGTTGAGTACGGTCCCTAAGAATTCAACTCCAGGAAAATTGACCTACATATAGCATCTTAAGCGAGCAGGAATACTGAACGCGAATTATGTTTTCACTGGTGTTGTCGTCGTCGTTGCTAAATAGAGACCTTACGCAACTACGACGCGAACGTCAAAAAACACTGAATTAGTTGCAATAAAAAAACAACCACTCTGCAAGTGCAGCACACTATAATTTTTTATAAATTTCATTGCCGTCCCTGTACAACTACGACGTGCAATGACAAAACTTTCAGTTGACTTGAGAACGGGCGGGCCAAACGATAAATTTTACTCTCTCTCTCTCTGAACTGGTAGGACGCGTTTTCTTCTCCCCAACCTAATTTCCCTCCTTTGTGCAATTGAGCGACCTAAGAGAATCGTGAAAAAGTATGAAAGGATGCGAGGTTTATTTTTCAAAATGTTTTCATTGGCGTCGTCGTTGTCAGATGGTAAGGTCCCTCAGTAATCTACGCCAGTTAGACCTATCCCTTAAGAAGAGTTCTGTTGAGAGTCATTATAGTCAGTAATTCTATCAGTTAATCCGTCTCAGTGAAACACGTTTCCATAAGCTGACTGTGTGTGCAACTTTCACTGGTTAAAAACTCCTTTACGTGAATTTTTAGCCCGCGGAAGTTGCGTAAACAGATCTTTTTCACAACAACAAAGTGCGTGGCACGAAGGGATGATCAGGCACACTTTGAAATGGGGCTTTATGATCCAGTCCCTGAAGCGGATCCAAACAATACACCTAGCATTGCAAAAATACTGAAGAGATGCATATTGTCGGGAACATGTAACTCAAACAGAGTTGCAGCAAGCGCGCAAGCACATCAACCGGGAATGATTTGTAAAGGGTCTGGAACTAGTCTTTTCGGTATCCGGGACTTGACCGAAATATATTGCGGCATTCGCCAAAATCATGGATAGAAAATCGGACATTCGCAATCAGGATCTCCCCCGATTCTGTTTGTTGATAGTGGGTTGCCACATGCAAGGGTATACACACTAGTGCGGCTAACAAGCTAGCTCCAGCTGATTGTTAGTCAGTAACTAGTAAACGTTCTAAAGACTGGAAACTACAGCGTTGAAACCACTGCGTTGAATCCATTAAATTAAGAGTTTATCTGTGCAACAGATCAAGTGTTTTGTAATTTAGTCATCTACTAAGGGACAGTAACAGGGCTCAAAATAATTTCGGACGGTGGCCGGACACTATGATCGGCCAAGGAAATGTTTGCTTGGTCAAGTCTCGTGTCTGACCGATCAAAATGTTGGAAAAAAAGTTAACTAATCCATATGTAGTTTCCTATTTGTGAACGTGATTTTACGTCAAAACTTCGTACTGGACACAGATGACGTGAACAAAAGCCCTCTTTATTTTCTGTTGCAGGGAAAAATCTGCTTGGTATTGTTTCATGGTTTTTGTTTTTTTGTTTTACGTCATCTGTGTCCGGTACGTACACGAAGTAAATGAGTGATTTTATTTTTACGGAGACAAAATCTAAGATTTGCAGGTAAGGATTTGTTTTTTTTTAAGAATTAGAGTTAGTGATCGGTCAACAAGACTGACTAGTGAAGTTCGTGGCCGGTCATATCGCCGTTCTGGCCAGACATTGCCCGTTGACCGGCAGTTATTTTGAGCCCTGTAAATCCTCGTGAAAACTCATGAGCTTGTTTAATTGGATTAAAAAACACTCGTTTTGCAGTATTGTCTCTTGAATTTCGTCATGAATAAAGGCATTGCACAGCACTTTTAAAATTGTTGTCCTCTTGTATTGCGTTGCCTCGCTTCGATGAATTGCTACTTTCTTTCTTTATTCATTCCTTGTAATTGCCTGAAGGACTTAACCTTGTCTATATAGAGTTATTCTATCTTATCCTATCTTATAAGACCCCCGGATATAAGCCCTCCAAAAACCCTTACGAAGTTGTATAAGCCCAAGGCTTAAAAGTGCAAGTTTACGGTATATATCGTCAATGGGAAGTTAACCTACATTATTATTCATTCAAAATATTTCCCCGATTCTGATTGGCTAAAAGCACACGCATAATTCACCATAACCAGCTACTGATGACCAAATTTGGAAAAAATTGCGATTAATCAACCCATGACGTCAAAAGTGCAGCTTGCTTGCAGGTTAATGCACTGTTAACCGAGAAGAACTTGGGACGAGGTTGAGTTGTTTTGGTTGTGAAAACAAAAATGGTGGACATTTCACTCGTTTCAAGAGTAAGAACTAGTCGAAATAATAGCCAAAAACATGGCAAGAACAACAAGAAGACAACTCGAAGGGCGACATCTGCTATTGGAGAGTATTTGCGGAGCTAAACAACCCTTAACGTGCACCATCGAAGATGAACTTAACATCGATGGAAGCAAGAATGTTTTAGCTATGTTCTTAAACTAGGAATTATTTTGAATGAATAATAAAACAATTATTGAATTCGTCTTTCGTACCATATCAAGAATTATGGAGATCTCGGAGGGTGTTATCCGCCTCAGCCCACCGCCTCGACGGATAACACCCTCCTAGGTCTCCATAATTCTTCATAAGATACTCAGCCTCATTCATTAATTGTTAAATAATCATGTCTCGACCGTGAGAGCTTTCCCGCGCTTTTGCCTGGGCGGCAGCTGTATTGATATACTTGATAATGAGATTGGTTAACTTGATTGTCAGCTCACTTTGTCATCGGCAAGGTTTGGCTTGCGACTGAAGAATGGCTCATTCTGTTCCACGTTCCTCGTACCGCTTGTGACGTCATCATTAAAAACGGTCAAGGAAGTCTTTGTCATCTGACTTGTACAGGGAAAAGATATCTTTCATTCCATGCCAGAATGAGCACGATTCAGTCAACGAGGTTGGAGAAAAGGCAAAACAACACCAACGACAAAACAAAGCGCGTAGTTGACCCAAAAAATCCCATCAAAATCTTGTTCCACTACCCACATGCACTTCCTTACATCAAATCCTATGACCGTTAAAGCTTTGCCAAAAACTTTTCCCACCGAAATGAAGCCTAAAAAAATTTCCAGCAAAGGAAAAAAATTGGACAAGAAAAGCGAAAGTAGAGGGGAAGGAAGAAAACGAAAAGCCAAGTGACGGGTGTCATTTATTAAGGCCAAAAAAACTTGCTTTCTGCGCATTCCCGAACTTTGGAATCTGATATTTTGCATCTGGAACAGAAGACGCGAAGTGCTCGACCTATCAACAAGGTTTTGGGGATTCTTGGCTCTTACATGTAATAGCCAGTGAGAACGTTATGGTTTTGTGCTTTAATCATACAAGACGGTGCTTTAAAAGGGCTGCAAAGTTATAAACTAGGTATGTGAAAGAGATACCATATGTCAATAGAAGGTAATACGAAAGGGGTACCTCTTCTGTCAAAAATGGTATATGAAGACCTCGGGATGGAGCCTCCCCGATTAAAACTTTGTTGAGTAACCCCCCCCCCCCGCCCCCTCGGCCACGTGGTGCGAACAAGTATGGTGCGAACAAGTAAACTCTGCCTCGACGAATCCAAATTGAAAACAAGAGTTAAACTTCGTAGAAATGTGTTTAATACCATGAATAATGCTTTGATATATAATAAATGCAATCGTTACACGTATATACTTCAGCTCTTTTAAATAATATGTACAGATTTACTAATTTCAATCAAGTATTTAATCAGCTATACTACATGCGGGCAGCAGCGATAGTTCTCCTCAGTGTATACACAGCGAAAGCTCTTTAACTCCCTAGATGATACAATTTCAAAGTTACTCCTTAACTATTTATATGAAAGTCCCCTGCCTGGTAAATTTTCAAAATGATTTTCTATTGAATTTATTGGGTGACAGTGTGCGTAAAAGCAATGTCCATTACACATTGCAATTCAAAGCGATATGGTGAAGTCCAGATTGGCCATGAACAAAAAAACCTTCTAAGGCCGAAAAAAGCACTTGCATTCAACGTCAAATTTAAGGATATTTAATTTTAGGTCATGCTTATCGAGATTTTGTAACAAAAACAGCGAGGAAGGTAACAAAAAAAGTATTTTTTTGTCATATGATTACGATAAACAAATTTCTTTTTAAAAGATGTAGCTGCATTAAAAGTAATAATATTTCAAACCCACTTTTTCTAATAGAGAGGGTATAGCAAATTTGCCCTAACTAGAATGACATAGCTTCTCCACGCAGTCTCACAAATTGGTGATTCACGCCCAAAACGCCTGTTATACGTTCCTTTATGACAAACTGAAACGTTTGTGTCTTGAATGGATGTAACAAACTCACGTTTAGAATGTTTTAGACTGAAACCTAGAATATTGAACTCCTATAAAGATCTTTAAACATAACCATAAATTAGTTCACTTCCAGTCCCTCAGCAGAAACCTGAAGTCACAATCAACTTGAAACTAGTAAAATGCTGAATCGACGAGTGAGGTTTTTAAAGGAGCTACATGCAAGCATTAGCTGGGAATCGATGATAATTCTATAAATGCTCCAAATAAATTGTTTTCCTAAGCCTAACTGAAAAAAATATGCCTGATAAAAGATAGCCTCCCTTAGACACAGAACATAAATTCAGTGCAGAGTAACTAACAAATAAGGCTTCTAAACACCACAAATTCTACTGATTTACAACTAATGCTTGTCTAAAAAACACAGCGCCATCATCAAGACTCTATGATTTCTTCTCTACATACTGGGCAAGTGCGATTATTCTGAAAATAATAATAATAGTAATAATAATATGAATTAGTACACCAGGAAATGAAAATTTGGTTGTTTTAAAAGCATGGTCGCATTATGATCCCGAGCCTTTAAACCAAAGAGTTAGCTTGGGTGAATTCGATTTTTGTCCGGTTTAGTAGGGATTCCAGTTATCGGGAGTCGACTGGAGTTTTGTTTCTGCGCTCCTGCTATTTTTGGCAACTTTCTTTTTCTTGTTATAAGATAATATTTATTAAAAAATGACCTCACCTTTAGCCAGCGATCAATGCACTTGGCGTGGAAGTCATGATTACAAGGTAACCGCCGCAGTTTTTCCCTGTTGATGTAATTACTCATACAAACCACGCAGTTACCGTTCGAGGAATCTTTTGAGCTGGCACTGTAGCGGAACGATGGGATGCTGTCTATCACTGAAACAAAAATCAGGTGAAAAATTTAGGTTTCTGCAATTTATGTTTTCAAACCTTAACCCCTTACGTCCCAAGAGTGATCAACGTCAATTTTCTCCCAACAGTATCCACATACAATCAAGAGAAAAGGCTATGAGAATTGATTAACCCTTTCACTGCCAAATTTAGCCAAAAGCAAATTTCAACCAAATGTCCAAATTTCATATTTTTGTGAAATGTTGATTAAAAAATAGCACCATGTGTAAGTACAGGCAGAGAGCTTTCATTTGAATGGTCACATCATAGGATTTCGTCCACAGACTCAAAAGTTACAGTCACCTTACAAAACTCCATAAAGCACTCTGACAGTGAAAGTGTTAGGGGATCACCTGAGGACAAAAGCTTTGATTTTTAACCAAATTCTCCTGACTAGTTCTTTGAAGTAACGTATACATACCAGTCTGGAGAATTTGTATGCGGATATCAGGGTTTCTCTTCCATCAGCGACATTTAGTCCAACTCTATATGTATAGAGAATACAACGACTGAAATGACACATACCTTCCTTGCTGAGTCCGCGAGCCTTAGCTAATCCTATCCTTTCACTAAGATTCCATAGAGCCTGCAAGAGATACAAGACATAAGAACTTAAAAATAATTCTGTCCCAAGCTCTCTCAGAAAACCTGGTTTTTCAAGGCGATTAGCTGGTTTTGCACTGCGCATACCAGCCTTTGGTTCAAGCATGAAAATTTCAAGACATCTTAAAATTCCTCTTAAGGTTTTTTTGTGAATCTTTGCACAAAATATATTATATTACATAAGTATCATATGTTTTCAAAATGACTCAATGTAAACCCACAAGAAAGGCATTCTTTTTTTCAGACTGGATATTTATCTTGAAACTTTTTATAACAACCAGAATACATTTTCTGTTTATAAGCAGCAACCATCAACTCACATTACACTTTATTTTTTTCATAAGTTATTGATGTTGTTTCTTTTACCTCATAATCCTCTCCTTCATTTGAGTGCCCTGGGCTTGAATCGCCATAGTGATGAAGCGGAGGAGGGGGGAAAGACACAACGGATCTAGAAAATCAATGCAGATATTTTAATAATTAACACTGCCTTCATTTCAAGAAATACCTTGAATCAAAATAACTAATTATAAATTATTATATATTAAACATTAATTTCTTATTCTTTAATATTAAACTCATCAACATAGATGGGCATGGGGAAGGTGGCTGTGATGCTAGTAGGGCCCAGAACTATAGCTGAGAGTAAAGCATAGCCTTGACAACTCTGAGAGTGGCATCCACCCAGGTACTGTCACACTGCTAACCAGTGGAACCCAACATAGTTATCATATACTTACTACAGGGGGGGGGGGGGGGGGAGGGGGCTGAAAAACATTTGTAGGCACAAACCATGACAGGTAATAACACACCAGTGTAATGGCCTGGGACCTCAAGATCTTTGAGCTCCTGCGACGTGATTAAGGCGTATCTCCGACAAGACACAGCTTGACAGCCATGTCTTGAGTTTAATTTGACTAAATTTCGTTCAGCCACATTTAAATATTAATAATTGAAAATAATTACTTATTATTAGTGAATTCCCCTTTGTGCAAAATAAAAACATAGTACCATGTACCACTGTACTAACAAATCAAAAGAAAAGTCAACAAAGCAATAATTGTGCAACAGTGTGGATCATTTAGTGTTTGTGACAAACTTTAAAAAGGAACTTACACAAAAGGAAGCAAAAGTTCTGGTAATCCTTGACTTGCAAACGGCGCATGGAATGGACGCCTACGTCTCACCTGCAATGGTGATGGCTGATGCTACAAAAAAAGCATAAATTCATGTCATGTCTGCATGCGTTTCAGAGGTGTTCTTACTAAAAGGATGAAGTAAGATAAAGATACACTGTAGGTGTCATTTGAGGCTTGTTTAGTACCCTTATGTCTTAACCCTTTCACTGCCAAAGTTCTTGATGGAGATTTTAAGGTGTCTCTAAATTCTGAGTCTGTGGACGAAATCCTAAGGTGTGACCGTTCATATGAAACCTCTCTGCCTGTACTTTTACATGGTGCTATTAATGTTTTTAATAAAATGAAATTTGGATATTTGGTTGAAATTTACTTTTATATTTGGCAGTGAAAGGGCTAAATCACATACATTTAAGGATGTGCTCCAAAGAAGAATGAGGGGAGCCCAGTGCTCTGAACTAAAGTCTTAGTAGGAGTGCTCTGCATATGATTTGTATTAAAAAGCAAAGATTTTACAGTCGCCTAGCAGCAAAAGTTAGGCACCAGGGGGCCACCAAGCTCTCCTAGGGCACAGGCCTGCGTATGTATGCATTCCCTTGGTGTTCTTATTAAAAAGGTGGAATAAGATAAAGATTGATGGCATTTGACTGTGACACTTGTTCACAGTAAAGCTAGGTGTCCATATTATAGAGGAAAGGCCTGTTTATTATCTTTGGGGCTTACACAACTGTCTGTAATAGAGCTGTGTCTTAATAGTTATTTTGAAGTGCTTTCAGAACTTAGCTGTGGTAGAGAAAAGTACATCATATACACTGTAAATGTATGCATTTCAGAGTTGTTCTTATTAAAGACAGGGGTCATTTGAATGTGACGCCTGTCCATAATAAAGCTGAGTGTCCAGATTATACAGGTAAGGCTTGTGTAGTATCTTTGGGGCTTGCATAACTGTCTGCAATAGAGCTGTGTCTTAATAGTTATTTTGAAGTGATTGTGTTAAGTTTGTTACAGCTTTCTATAATAGAGGATTGTCTTACAAAGGAAGTTCAATAATTGCTACAAGCACTGCCCCAAATTAAGAGCTGCCCTTGACCAGGGGTTAGTGCTTCAATTGGGAGAAAAAAAGAAGACAAGCACTGTCCCCAAATAAGCGACATGGCCCTGATATAATCAAAATCTAGAGATGTTAATTCTGTTAGCTTGCTACGCAATATAATAATACCGAAGTTAATACGATTCTTTGTTGCATCCAAATTTCAGATAAATGCTGCCCTCAAATAAGTGCTACCCTAGACTAAGCACAGCACTGGAGGTGCCAAAAATTTAAAAAGTGCCTCAGCACTCAATTGAGTAAATACTATATGTATTTCACCAAAAAATCACTTTTTTTAAATTTTGAATATTGATCTTGGGGTTCTAGGGATGATAGTTAACATACATGTACAACTGAGCAAAAAGCTTGGAAAAGAATGCATTACATGTAAAAGTTAGATCATTGAACACATACAGCTGTAGTGTACAAGTAAAGAAGAAAATACAAAAGTAAGTTTTTATAGTGTACTGTATTTACCATTGTAGTTGGAAAAGCATGCAATGCTCCAGCTCTGGCTGCAGCGGGTTGAGTTGCATCTCTAATACTTTGATTATGCTCTTCTACTTCTTGAGCATATTCAGCCTAAAAAGGAAAATAAAAAAAAGTTATGAAACTGTGATGGGCCAACATAAGAGTATAGTGATTCTTAAACCATGTGATTTGTTTTATGCAACTACTGTTTGATAATGAAATAACGAATAAATGAATTTCACAATTATACAGGAACTGTGGAATGAAGAAGTACAATAATTCAAAGAAAAACCTTGCAAATGCAGTTGCATCTTGAACTGCAAAGATCTGCTTTGTACTTACTACTGTTTTAAGCTGTACAAGATCACTCTAACACTGACTGTTGGCCAACTGTCAGCCAACTGTTGACAAACTGCCGGCCAACAGTTGGCTGATAGTCAGTCAACAGTTTTTTGGGGGAGCTGTTCTTCACTTTTTCCTTCAAGTTTATCGGTGTGAAAACATCCTGCGGTGTGACTATTTCAATGAAAACTTTTAAGGACTACTTTAAATTGCTATTCAGTGTCTTTAGTCTGTAAATAATTAGGTCCTCAAATGCAAAGATTAGTGAACTTCATTGTTTAATTATCATTCTTTTCAAAGCATAACTATGTAAATTTATGTCCTTTGTTACTCAACAAGAGAGTTAACAATAAATTAAATATAAATAACAAGTCAATTACTTGTTGAAGTCTGTGAGCAAGAGCTTCATCTGATTGAAGGAAGCACCTTCCTGCAGCTTGCCGGGAAGCACTGAGGCGACGACGAAACCGTTCCATGCGGTGTTGCCTATCAGACAGAAACCAGCTGGAAGCATCATTTGGAGGGACGTGGTGTTGAGCAAAAGGAGATCGCTACAAAACAATAGAATAGCACATAATAACTTAAAAAGTGGCCATGGTGATTAACACTTTTTATTTCCAAAACCAAATGTTAAAAATACAAAAACCTGCCACTGTAAAATACTAAAATTACTGTTAAAGAACATGTACAGCTGTACTGTCAACTCTCAGAACAGACCACTATAATATTGGACACCTTATGTGTAAGTACCTTACATACACAACTAAAACTATTTTCATTGTTACAAATTAATAGCATGAGTATTGGGACTCAGATCTAGTAAAAATAGCTGTCTAGAGAGAGCACGTGGTTGCAGTCTTTTTATTGTTGTTTTTTTTTTTCTGCAAAACTGCCATTTGTTTCCATTGGAAGTTTTGACTGTTTTGGGGTACATGCAATACACCGAAAATAAATTATAACCCACCCCGTGACACAACGGGAAAGTTTGATTTGTGACCACAAGAAAAGTTTGAATTTTTTCAGAAATGATTTCAATTGGTGACTATTTATTTAACGGTGTAGCACACAAATGTCACAGTCAGTCAACTCATAACTAAAATACGCTAGCCTGATGGCTTGCTCCACCAGTGCCATGCTATCAGATTGTACTTATGTTGCCCCCCTGCACTTTATAAGCATGAACCCTGGCTACTTTCGAAGGAAGCAAAATGAAAGAAAGAACCGAAAGAACTTCCTAGTTATTCAATTCAGGGCTCGAATAGTCCCATCTGGTAGTCTGTGACAAGTAAATTTTCTTGCTGGGCAAGTAACTTTTAAAGGTTTCTTGCCCAATGGGCAAGTTAAGGGTCATCCTCTAACAAAATCATTAACTAAGACCAGGGTTCGTACACTTCTTTCTGTATAAAATTGAAGGACTTTCAAGAACCACAATAAAATATTTAAATTTCAAGGACCTAATTTGTTACTTTTCACAGACATTCCAAATAAACTATGAATATTACCTGATAATAATGGGCTTTTGTTTCAAGGGCAACCATTTTTATGAAAATTTGTTTGAGAGTCCGTACCTTACTTTCATTTTCTCAATGCTGATTTTATTCTGTTGGCTTCAAACTAGCATTTTCCAAAGTTTCTTGGAGGTTTGAAAATGTTCCTCGATCAAAATTCAAGGACTTTGAAGGACCAAAATGAATGAAGGAGAATTTCAAGGACTTTCTAGGCCTTGAAAAAGGATGCGTACGAACCCTGTAAGATGAGCAACAAGTCGCCTGACGCAAGCAAAATGTGAGAGCTACTTGACAAAAGGACAAGCTGGACTTCAAGTTTTTTTTGTGCCCTGCTTTTCCCTGCTTCCTAATATTGACATGTATAATGCCTGGCAACTTGAAATCTTAGTGGCAGCCCTATAGGTAATTTACATGTAAATCCCCAGAACAGTGTATCAGTTTCAAAATAAAATTATGAACATCCTTTTTTACCTCATCATCTATGACAATAGGAGAAGCACTATCACCAGAGAGACTTGGCCTTGGTGCAATGTCAGCAAATTCAGCTAGTAGTGCTTCGTGTCTTGGTCCAGGTGAAGGACCTCTGTCCCATAAACTTGAATAAGGGGTATGCCTTCCTCGTAATCGACGTGCACGTAAACGGCTTTCATTTAAAGCTATACGCTGACCTCGGGGATCACGAGCTTGTAGGCGCCAACGGAAATTTTGAGCAAACTGAGCAAAGTCCTCACTGAAAGAAAGGGAAGGAGAAGGATCAATAGACTGAACAAAAAAGGAAAATAGAACTTAATACTAGAGAATTTTGACTGACAACTTTAGGGCTGGTTCAAATGCACAGCAACATTATCAACGCAATTTTTGTTGCCTTAAACAGTATACTTACGTGAACGTCAAACCAAACGAGTTTACTGATAGTTACACTCTATCAGTCAAAGTTACATACATGTGTTCCGTGAATCACACATTAAGTACACAAGATCATTGTATATTGTACTATGAAACAATTTCCAAGGCAATTTGAAGCAGTGGTAGGGTCACTTTTAGCAATATCCGGTAGCCAGTTCTTGGTAACATCCCTGCTCACGTCACATGTATGGAGTGGATGCATGCCACTCTAAACTGTCTAAATTTTATTCTCAACAGCAATTATTAAGCAGCTTTCCAGCATTGCATCAAGCCATTGTGACCTAATATACATGTAGCTTTGTTCTTACCAAGGTGCAGGTACTGCCGCTGCTGCCCCACCCTGTACTCTTGCCGCGCCTTCTTCTCCCTCCCCATCAGGTGATGTGAGATCAATGACAGGAATCTCTGGGCGTTTGGGAGTTTGGTTTGTTATTATAACTGAGCTATCAAGATCACTGGTTTCACTTGATGAGGTCGATGCTGATGGTGATATTGGAGCTAGGTGATGGAAGCTTGGAATGTCAATATTAGGTTCATCTAGGAGAACAGAAATGTCTCGTGGAGACCCTGGATTTCCTCTCATGGATGAAGAGGTACTTTCTGTGTCACTTTGTCCCATTTTAAGACCTACAAAACACACAAACCAAACAATGTACAAGTGTAAAAGACAATTATTTAGATTGATTGAACTTTATGTTTATTCAGCCCAGACTGAATATTATTAAATAATGAATAGTATGTACATGTATAGCCTGCAAAGGGGGCATATTTTGCTGCTGATGTTAGTCTGAAAACATTCTTGTGGATACTCTTACAGCGTACATATAGATTGGAGTGCACGCATTCAACTGTATGACATTTTGCTCTACAGTTTAGAAGTCTTAAAAAATGCCAATCATCATTACATTTCAAACATGAGAATGGAAATTCTTTCTGAGTTAATGGATATCTGTCCTGTAAGTGGATACCTGGTCTTAGCCAAGCTAGCCATACATCTAAACACTGCATCTCTAACCTCTGAAGCCATACACTGTAGGCAGACTCTCATAAGAGGACCATTCTCCTGGTCCCAGAGATGTGTGCAGGAGGTCTGACCCCATTACTCTTTTTCTCCTAACCGCCACCCATTAGCTCAGTTGAATAAGTGCTGCTCTGCCAAGTAGAAGGTCACTGGTTCAAACCCCAGCCAGACCAACACCCAGGGTCTTTAAATAACTGAGCAGAAAGTGCTGTTTTTATAAAGACATCTGTAAATGATAACACTTTCTAGTCTTCTTGGATAAGGACGATAAACAGTAGGCCCTGTCTCACAACCCTTGCACTGATAAATTCTGTGGGACATTAAAGAACCACACACTGTTCGTAAAAAGTAGGGGGAGTAGTCTCCGGTGGTGTGGTCTATCTCTCACAGGGGGAGGGACTGTTATGTGCCCGTCGTCTCTGTTATGTGCCCGCCGTATGGGGAAATCTGGACACAGCCTTAATATATCTTTTGCAAGTGGTTCGTTCACATCGTACAACCTATTTATTATACAGATCAGATACAGAGATCCTTGGATTGTAATTTCAGGAAATTAGGTCGCCGCCTAAAATTTGTGAAGAGGAAATAGAAGATCGAGAATAATGACAAAGAAGAAGTACAGTTTGAAGCACTACAGAAGGCTCTTGCGCAAAATGCGTATGAAGAACAAAAGAAGTTTCCACTAAGAATGTGAAAAGGCATTCACCTGGTTGCAGTTCGATGATTCTAAACAAACAATGTTTTGCAGTGTTTATGGTGAATTTCCCGCCCTTGCGTAACATAAATGAAAGGAAAATGTAAATGTGCACTAAATAGACTATCTTCTATAATATTTTGTTTTGCAGATCATCATGTAATTTGAATTAATCCACCTATACATTACTTTGCCCAGTTTATTAGCACTAAATTTAATAGTTAAAATATTGTTATTTCAAGAACAGATTCTAGGATAATTAACTTTATAATTTGGTTAGTAAAATTTATTCCTACTAACCCGAAGGGTTAGTTATCCAAAAAGTTAATTTCGAGCCCTGACACAGCAAGAAGAGCTAATGGAAAGGCATTCATGGTAAGTGGCAAGAACCAGAATTTGAGTTATCAAGGTAAATTTTGATCAAGAGAAAAGAACCGTATTTACCCGCGGATAGGCCGCACCCCAAACTTTCAATGGTTTTCATGGGAAAAAAAAGTGAGGTTGAGTACCGGGATAAATAAACTGAACTTTGAAATCAACAACAGCTAATGCATATCAAGTCAAATTTATTTTTGACAATAATTTCTACATGAACGTGAAAATATTCAAACTATAAACTGAAATGCCTTTTCGCTAACATTTTATATACAGAATACTTAAAGACAAAATCAAGATTCTTCGAAGATATGGACTTAGTGTTTAGTTGTATGTGTTGTAAGTTAGTAACAATTGAAAGCGAACATTAAAACACCAATTTAGTGTACGACCGTGAGATCTCTTGCATATTAATGAGGTGTCGAAACGCTTGTACCCGCATATAGGCTGCAACCCTAATTTCAGTCCCATTTTTTCGGGAAAAAAGTGTGGCCTATCCGCAGGTAAATACGGTAATTTAACTAGTTCAAGTAAGCGGGGAGTTTGAGTCATCTGAGTTTGAGTTATCCGAGAAAAAATGACTGAAAATTAGATTCATTCAAATCCAAGGGAAATGGGACTTAGGTTGAGTAGGCAGGGCTGAAGTTCAAGTTACAGGGGTTCTGCTGTATTCTTCAATAATTATTCTCTAGTTTAAATAGCCAAAAATAGCAATTTCCAGGGTGTTTGATAGTGAGAAGTACTGGAATTTGGACTTCAATCTCTGCTGTACCAGTGCTGTGCAACAATATTGATAACATGAAATAATCAAGAAGAGCACAAAAGAAGAAAGTCCATAAAAATAGCCTTTACAATAATTTTGCTCTTCGTATTTACAAGAAGAAATATATGCTTAGAATTTGCAGGCATTTGAGTGTTCATGAAAGCTAAGGAGTACAATCTGCATACAGAGAAAATCTTCAAGGCAGAAACATGAACTCTGTTCATTTGGCTAACAGATCAAGACAGTCTTCAGAGTAGTACACAAGGGTAAGTAAGTGCAGCCATATTTATCATGTGGTATGCTGTGACTATGTCACAGGGAAAAGAAACAACCACCATAAAAGGGTATTCAAAGATAGTGAATGAGAGAACTTTTGCATTGCTACGCATTAATTTGCTCGGAGCAGAGCTACGGGAGAATTTTTGCTACAGAAGGATATCATTAGGTTTTTCACAAGCTTAAAACAATATTTTCCAATTTTCAACTCTCCTAGACAACTAGCAAGGCCATATCGAACTGAGTAGATATAATATTATCAAAATCCCTAGCTTGGATAGAATTTTCTACAAATAAACGAAGTAAACAGAAAAGGACTAAATGGTAACATTGCAGCAACAACGTGAGGTTAAAGCAAGTCTGATCTATTAATTCCGATGTAGGAAATTGAGGTTATAGAATTTCGATTGAAAGAATCAAAGGTAAATCTTTTCAGCAATAAAACTACACAATCAACATTTAATTTTGCGCTCAAGGATTCAAGAACAATAAAAACGCTCGCCCTGGATCACCAAGCAATAGACTTTACTCTTCAAGAATTTCTTCAGTTTTTCACTATCCCTGGCTGTTCTCTGCTCCATTCTAACATTCAGTCATCGAAATTAAGTATGAAATGATTCCGCTAACAAGAAAATTTGCTGGCAAATCTATCGCTAGTTGAACTTCAGCTTATGTTTAACAATGATCACACTCTCCTCATTTCAAAGCAGTTTTTGTTTGACGATCGATGCTTCTGCGTTCAGTTCAATACTTTTTCTCCAATTCCATTTCGTTGGTCATGTCCTCGACAAGACCAATTGTTTAGAGAAAAGTATATTTTGGATAAAAAACAACCAAAGTTTAAAATAATTTTCGTTGTCCACTCTTGCGTTTAGGAGCCAAATTATAAAGGCCTTGCGTCATATAAAGAAGTTAGTAGAGATAAAATTCGAGGGAAAAACACTACACTAAAATTCAAGCGAATTAAATTGTGAAAAAATATATACTGCTACTAAACGTGCTTAGTTTTCTTTAGCAAAATTCTTTGGCATTATGAAATTCGAAGAGAAAACGCCCTACATGAGACACTTAGACCAAAAGGCGATAAAAAGCTTTAAGCAAAATATCGCACAAACGCCATTTTCATATCAGAGGAAGGTAACCGCCAAAAGGACAAAACTTACCTCAAAATAAACCGCGATTCAAAATCTTCCTTTGCAATCAAATTGCCTTGCTTTAACCAAATAAAATATACCAAAAGAGAAGTATTCCGTTAAAAGCTTCCGAAACTTTCGCAGATGAAAAAACGCTACTAAATTAGTACAAAGTAATCGACAACAATCGGGGTAAATTAATACGCTTTTGGCGCCCTCATTGCGCATGCTTAAATTACCGCTGGCCATGTGACTGTCACAACTCACATGAAAAGAACACAGATGTATTTCCGGTCGTCGTCTCTCTTCACTTACACGCAGACGTTCTAGTAGGGCAGGAACGCGTGAAGAACCCTTAATTAAAGAACGACTGCGTGGGAGGCTTTCCCCCCGAAAAACATTTTTCAGGTAGAGAGAGGTGACGACCGAAAATTCATCTGTGTTCGCAGGCTACGACATGAACAGCTGAGGACAGCAACACAAATTTCGCAATTTGTTTCGACTTAATTCTTTGTTCTTTCGTAACTTACTGCAGTTTTCAGGCTTGTCTCGTCATATTTGAATTGCCACACTAAGAAATTGCTTTGAATTACTTTCCAATCACCTACGAATGAATACTAAAAAAATTAATCGAAATTACAAAGCAAGATAATTGTTTGATAACCGGCAAAGAAACATTTTAATGTTTCGACTGTTATTCAAAACAATACACTTAAAAGGTTTTTTTTTCGCACCACTTTTCACAAATTAAGAATTCACCTCTTTCGTCATGTTTCGTAAGAATACCATGACCGGAAGTGTGGAATGACGTGTTAGCAAATGTTATTTTTAGAACCGGAAGTGTGAAATATGAGAAGTACGGCTACAATACAGAAAAAGTTTCGAATTTTGCAATGAGTGATAACAATAAAAAGGGGTGAAGCATAAGTCTTGAGAAAATATTTTAAGATGAATATTGATCAATACGCATGAAATCGTCTGATCCGCATAGAGTCGGTAAGAGAAAATTGTTTCCCTGGTAACCTTTTCAAATGACTTGAAATGGCAGTTCAGTTCAGTTGATAAGGAAAGTGTTTTCTGAGGGCGGCAAATTGAATAGTGTTCTTTCTAGGGTGACCAGCTCTGAAATTTATTGGGGTATTGAGATTTGAATAAAGGGACCAATAGCAGACTTAAAATAATCCGTTCCGAGCGTTCCGATAGTTCACGAGAGAAGCGGCCCGAAGTAAAAAAAAGCTCGAAAAAAATAAAACGAGTGACGGGAAGAGTCCCACTTCTACCTTCCTTTTTTTCCTCGCTTTTTCTACTTCGCGCCTCTCCTTCATATCTCACAGGCAAGACTAAAAGGAAAGCTTCAACCTCGGGCAGTACTGGGAAGACCTCAAAATTCCGGTACCTTAATAAATCAAACAGCAAGCTGGTTGACTAACTTTAATAACACGATCTGCAAAGAACAAAAGTTACGTAACTTGAGTTTTGGATGTCGTAATAATTATCTGATAAATTCTTAATCTCATTTCCAGACCCCTTGTAATTTTTTGAATATATAGTCTCGTCATTTTCTTTAACGGTCACTTAAGATCACTTTTTAAATGTATGTTGAATAGCATATGAAACGTCAAGTTTATAAAAATAAGAAAACTCACAATGTTGATCACCGCTGTTTGTGTTTATTTTTTATCAAACTACGATGGCCCAAGAACAAAAGTTTCAGTACCAGGTTTTAACATCAATGATAATTCCGATAATGATGATGATGATGATGATGATGATGATGATGATGATGATGATGATGATTATGATGATTACTGATGATGATGATGTGGAGGTGGAGGAGGAGGAGGTGAGGGACGAGGAGGACTGAGGAGAAGGAGGGGGACTGAGGAGGAGGTGGAGGACGGGAAAAACGATGATGATAATGATAGCTGATCTGGAACCACAGAAATTTCTACATAAGAAAACGAGAATCAATTTAGGTTTCTGGGAAACTGCCCACCTACCCCTCCCCTAAGCCATCATTTTGCCCAAACTGAGAAGTAAGAGCTAAAGTTAAGTTAGGGGAGGGGTAGGTGGGCAGTTTCCCATAAACCTATATTGATTGGAAAACGATACGTTCAACTCCCACAGGACTGGTTTAGGACACCAACATCGCTGCCGTCTCATTGTTTTGGGATACCAATCGTCCCATGAAAGAAAATCCAAGACAGTCTTGGATTGTAGATTCCACGTCACGGATTCCGGATTACAGATACTGCAACCCTGGGGACGAGGTTGAAGTTACTGGATTCCAATCTTTGTCAGTGAAACTTGGATTATGGGTTCCAATCACTAGAGGGATTCCGGATTCCAAAGCCTAGGATTCCGGATTTCACATGCAAATTTTTCCCGAATTCCAGATTTCACGAGCAAAAATATCCCGGATTCCCTTATATGGGGCGATACCAATATGGCAGACGTGACGTCATGGGAAAACGCTCTCAGGTTACACTCCTTTTTTAAAGGACATATTTTATAAGAATATCGAGGCCGAAATTTGTGAAAATTTTTAGAATATTTTGAGAATAAAGCTGAAGCTAAGATTTTGAAAAGGATCATGATATAATTTTATGTTTGAAATTCTGTAAATATGGTACAATTATATGTTTTTAAATTAACCGTAAAACTATTATTCCTTTTACTAAAACGGAAAGAGCACTGGTAACTGGAAGCACAATACATTCTAAAGCGGAAAATAAGCCATAAGCTATAATTCAAAAATATTCTCAGCCCAAATCGACAGAAAAATATGAATATTCAGCCTTGGCTGGAAAAAAAGGAGTGTATGTCAGCTTGAAGCAGGAATAGGCTCCTGCTCTGTCACATCCTTCCATCTGGTGTAGGTATCAGGGACCAGAGACTCATAATACTGTCAGTCTCTTCTGCTAATTTCCTGACACTGTGAATTTTGAATCGTTCTGAGCTTTTCCATCGAAAGAGAGACCCTTGGACGGACCAGCCAAGAAAAATCTTTTATTTTTCAAATTTATACATTTTTGCCCTTTTTAGTTTTCTTATTTTATGAAAATGCAGGTTAAAATTAAAAAACAGCACTCAAAAGAACTCATTAAGTCTCTTGGGTAAATAGTGGTGAAAAGCGATTGTTTCGGAACAAAAATTATACAAAACATACAATTTTGCATTAGTGTTTCCAAGGAACAAAGCATACACAAAGGGAATGTTTATTCATAAGAAAATCAAACACCAGATGTCAATGAAATTGGTAAGAAACAAAGACGAAAGAACTTATTCGAAAGAAAAAATTCATTGTTGAGCTTAACAGGAAACTTTTGACATCTCCGGTCATTTTGCACGTTTTAGAGTCGGGCGCTTGAAATCTAAGGTTAGTTAGAAGACATTTCTTGTATTTTAAACTGAAATATTTACGTTGCAACATTTCCAGGGGGAGTGTATCTTGTCGGGTTTTAGTCTCTATTCCACCAAACATCACAACTGTTGGTTGAGTGAAGTACAACCAGAACACCGCAGTCACCGTGAAATTCTTTTCATTTGCGATATTCTATGCATCCGGAATTGGACAAAGCCAGATTATACCCCGAGATTATCCTCTGTTTCCACATTATGTATAATCATGATATAAGTTGAAAACAACGCAGAGCTATAACAAAATTTTTGGATGAAAAGAGACGATTTTTTGTAAAAGCGAAAAAAATACAAGTTATTATTTAATATTTTATATTTCAAAATTAAAAAAAAAAAAAAACATAGTCAATAGGTCACTGAGATCACCCATGATTCACGAATCTAGGGCAACGAAAGAGACCTAAAAAGATAATCATTTGCGTGAGATAAAATGCGATTTGTGTTATTGTTAATCGGGATTAACATAAATTAATATTTTGCCTATGGCACGGTACGGAGAACTGGGGTCGAGTGTTTCCCGCGAGGTATCGCAATTTGGGGGTTTGAAATAGTTACCGTCATTTTGTGGTCAGTCCTGACCGCGTCAACTTTTGTTGTTAAATTTGGTTTTTGATTGCTCTATTAGGCATAGTTCGTTCGCAGTTGTAATATGACGTATACTTCCTAGTTGCTGTTATTATCATTGGCCTTCGGTTTTCTATGCATGTTACAACAGCTTCAATTAGATTGGCCTATACATCCTAAGGCGACGCCACAGCATTGGTTGGGGTTACACGGTCCCTATTTTTCCAGTAATTGTTTTTGGGGGGTTTACGTGCACGTCCGGCTGTGACGTATTTATTTTACGTAAGCTTATAATTAAAAATTAAACGTGTATGGTGGGCCTGGCTGAACCGACACGCCCATGCCTCTATGTCATGTTGTTTGTTTTTGTGTGTTCGGTCGTGGTAGTGGAGGCAAAATGCCGGATTTTTGACGAAATGTATAAGGACACAAAGAGGTGATCAAGTCAAATACGGAAGTTTTAAAAGTAGGACATCTGAGTTTGACTTGGAAATCGGTGTTTGTTTTGTTGAAAATTGGAATTTGTTTTCGGAAATCGCAATTTGTTTAGCAAAATTGGGGGGTTTGTTTTCAAAAACGTTGTAGAGAGGTTCAACTACTGTATCGTCAAACTCCGATTTTCAAGCTCCGACTTTCTTAAACAAACTCTCTGATTTACAAACGCTGACTTTTGAAAACAAACTCCGAGTTTTTAAAACAAACTCTGATTTTCGAACTAAATTCCAGTTTTTGAAAACAAAAAAGACAACGATTTTCAAGTCAAACTTAGATGTCTCTTTGAAGCTTTGGAATGAGAACGTGGCACAAAAGAGGAAATAAAAAACATTTGTCCAAAGGTACCAGCTGTAGCGTATACCTGATTGAGTGGTTGTTGAACACACTTCTTCAATGAAGTGGTAAGCACGGCTGTCGGCCGCGCGAGCGAGCACAAACCTAATCTGCACAGGGACAAAAATTTTTGATTTCTACCCACGATCATGCATCTGGATTTTTAACCACAATGCACCGGATTTTTACTTCAATGCCTTGCGCGCCCATTCATAACCGACCTCCGCTGGCGTTTTGTTGCGCGAAGTTCGTTGAGGTTAGTTGAAATCCTCGATTTAATGTGTTCGGATGAATTTCTTTTTCATGGCATAAATAGCCAAGATTTCTTCACACCGCCGGTAATTACCTTCATGTTTATGTCTGCTGCTATCGTAGACTCGAAAGCTCTTGAAAAATGTAATGTTTGTTTGTTTCGGAATCCTTTTAAAGTCTTTTTGACTATCTTCTACACCCGTGGTCTTATTAAACTATCATTTCACAATAATTCTAGAAGATAATGTTCGAATAAACCAGAGTAAAACTTCTGGTGAGTGGACTAACAAATAGGCCTTTTGCAATAGTTGATCACGTGATCAACTTTCTGTAAACACGAAAATTGCGCGCTTTTGAAAAATTTTGTTAGCAGGAACTGAAAGAGCATATTGAATTATGGTAACCTGTAAATTTTCAGCCGTATATCTCAAAAGTAGCGATTGAAACGGCCGCTGAAAATTAGGGGGATTTGTATGAGAAAAACAACTCTTGCCACCCAGCTGTCAAGCTTAAGTGGTTTTCCATAAAAATCCTTGTAAATTTTGAAATTTTTAAACTTTTAAAAGAGAACTGTTTTCGGGTTTACGGAAAGTTGATCACGTGATCAACTAATGCAAAAGGCCTATCGGCTTCACAAACGCTACACACAAAGGATTCTAATTGCGCTCGCTAGCAAACCTAATTAATTTGACGATACAAATTGACACCAGGGCAACAATCTTTTACCTGTTAGGTACACTAGTTATAGTTTATTTGGCTCAAATTACGACTGCCATTATAACATTTCTACTTATGAAATGACTCCTGGGTTCAAACCTTTCTTATTCTGAAACTAGCACGTAGGGTCTACTTATTCGAGCTTAGAGGGGTCCTGGTGACGAATGTACGAAATTTCAAAAATGACGTAGTAATTTGAGGTTGTTAATTAATACATTTTCGTTTCGTTTTCTTTGGCCTTAGAAAAATGTCAGATAGTTTAATGGGGAACTATGCACCTTAACAACGAACGTCTCACAAAAACGCGAGGAAGTAAGAATTGTTCCATTCGCCTGTTACCATGTCACAACGGATGACATCAGACAAGAGAATACCTAGGAGCGCGTGCGTGAGGCATTTAGAATTTGCACGCCATAAAGAAACTGGTAACGACTGGTGTTTTGGTTCGAATGTTGACAAGAAAAAAGTTAATTTTCCTGTTACACTCCTATCACCCTCGAAGCAAGGTGTAATACCAACATCCAGAATGTCGCGAGAAGCAAAAGTCTATCGTTCTTTTTTGAGAGGAGAAGAAATTAATAGAGAAAGTGAAATTTCAAGTGGAAAGGAACAGACATACCACTTAGGAAAAACAGTACAGTCTAAAAGTGAAGAGCGAATGATAAAAGCTTCAGAAGGGAACGTCAATTCTCGATGCAAACAAAGTGCGGCAGTGAAGCGTTATGCTCTTTACAGAGGAATGCTAAATCAGTAAGTTCTGTAAGTTGCACGTAGAGTTGTTCTGACTTTAGGTTGTAAATAACTTGCGTGGCAGGCTTTTGAAAGGAAAGAGAAAGTGGATTCCGGCCGCGCGAGAAGCGAGAAAGGCGCACGACGGGGAGTTCCCCTTCTCTCTTATTCCTCGAGCGCGGTCTCGCGACCAAATTTCCCTCCCTTTCGACGCCTGACACGCAGGCTAGGTTGAAAAGAAATAATTCTCCAGCCAGTTGTAAGCAATGTGATAACCGGCAGCAAATGTAGTTGCCGGTATGCGGCCATATGCAGTACTGGAACGCTCTCGACAACAAGACACAAATTGTTAGCATAAAGCCTTACTTTTGATTGATGAAATTTGAGGGGAGAGAGAGCCTCGTTGCTAATTTTAATGGAAAAATCCTTGGGAACTAGACTGAGTGATCGACTTTGTTTCCAGAGTCTTTCATTCCTCATCTTGAGGCAACGGAGACAGACTACGATAAGAAAGCTGTTGGGGAGGAGAGGGCCGGTGGGGCGGGGAGGGGGGCTAATAGGCCACAAGCCATGCAATCTAGGCATGCGCAAGCTATTGCGACTCAACGTATTGTGAGGCTCTTTGACTGAAGCACGATTACGACGACATTGAGTACAAGTTCGATATTCACACGCGGCAAGTTCACGTGCTTTAGATTAAAAACTTAGAAAGACTGAGGGTTATCCGAGAAAATCTTACTTCTTCAAATTCGAAAGTCGACCTCGTTTGGTTATAATCTCATCAACGAATTCGACGTCAATTTCGCCAAGCTGATCAATGCTACTGTTTGTAACCAGGGTCCATAACTTACTCCCATGATGCTCGATCTCCTGTTGTAATCCGGGCTCTATCTGAATGCTATCAGTAAAAGAGCTTGATATAAGACCAGTTTCGATATATACATATTCAGATTCATACTTGGCTCCAAGGTTTAGGGGAATAAAACAAAAGAAATTCACCTTCAAGGCTTAGCAATGGATAACACATTTCTTTTGATTCTGATTCCCCTAATCCTTGGAGCCAAATATAGAATAGCCGATTATTCATGGTCTATTTCATTTATGATGAGCAAACCTGAAAGACAAAGTAAGCTCGTGGAAGTTCAACAGAAAATCATGGTTGACAGTTTAAAACATCTTTTCGAAGCAACTTAGATTCACCGTGTGGATAAGGCCTGTCTGGGCTTGTTAAAGTCACTCTTTATGTAAAATTTTGTTCTCTTTGTTTTTTGTTTGTTTGTCGTAGATCTAGATCAAGATTTCAAGAGGACCACGAAACAAAGAAGGACATTGGAAATAAGAACAAAGTATTGTACAACAGAAAGAAAAAAAGGAATAATATGACCGACGTAGATACTTCAAAAAATGAGAGCCACAGCAGTTATGAAGTAAGGTCACCTGAAAATGAGAGCCCGGAAAGTAGCATGCGGGAAACGATAAATTCGAGAAAGAAGTGCGACGTTTTACTTGGATCACAGGTGACAAACTAAGCTACTTACCTTCAACTATGTGACAGGAAAAAAACACTTCCGTATTCAGGACGTGCAAAAAACCATTTTACAGTTGTTTAAAATTGTTTGCTTAGCGCCTTGGCCTATCATGCGCCCCATATTCTTTATACGCGTACGGCGCACGCTCCTCGACATAGTGAAATCGTGCCCTGGCAAAACCTTTGTCGTTCCCAGAGATTCAGTCCTTTTGGACGCTGATCAAAAGGATCGAATCTCCGAGAACGAGAATGTGGCAACACCGGAGCCCGCGAAAAAGGTGTAATTGACGCCGTAAGAATTGGGTCATGCAGTTTTAGTAAATTGGCCATAAAAGATCACAATCAGATTTGAAAACAAGGTGACAAAGTATAAAAGGATTAAATTAACTGTAAAAACCGTGAACGAAGATCCTGCTAGTTTAAACGTTGGATCTCTAGAAAAGAGATCTAATCAGCCAAAATATAAAGAACCAAAAAGGAGAAGTCCAAAGACTACTGCAAAGCTGATTCAGAATTGAACAACGTGTATTGTTTTTTCAAAACAATACTTCGGCTGGCCATACCAGCCTTCTTCACAGATGTTACTGAACTTATGTAAGAATCACAATATTATATGGATGGAGAATGTCGCAATAAAAATTGTTTTAAAAGGAAGAGGCGGAAATGACCTACAAAACAAAAGCAAGAAAGAAAAAAAATAATAGGGGTATGGATTACAATAATTCGTCACGGCGGTTTAGGCCATGACGTTCAAGAGTCATGGCCTTATCTATCAAATGCGACCCCAATGCGACTGCCTGACCTTAAGAACTGAGTCACGTGAAGAATGAACTTTCTCTAGTAGGATTAAGTGCATGTCAGTATGAGAATGGTTAGAGTGAGAGAGAAAGTGTTCAGAAACAGTAATGGGTTCAGATTTAATGTTCGTTTTGTCGACTGCACGTCTGTGTTTGTTAAATCTGTCCTTGAACAGTTTCTACGCGCTGTCAATATTTCTCGTACTAACGCGTTACAGACTAAACCTAAAGATTCTAACGATGTTGTACCATTTGTTGTCGCATATAACACAGCACTTCCAGGCATTTCTAATATCCTACGCAAACATTTTAACATCTTACACTCCTCTAGCCGTAGCAAAGACATCTTTAAGCAAACGCCTTTTGTTGCTTACAGACGTAACGCCATATTCTTCGTGACCCTTTAGTTAAAGCACAATTACCCGTTATCTCCAAGAATCATTTTCCGCCAGGCTTCTTCCGCTGTGGACAAAATTGTGCTGACTTGTCCATACATTACTAACGGTCTCACAACTTACACCTTTTACGCTACGGGTGAAACACGCTCCATCACTTCACAAATTACTTGTAACACTAAAAACGTGATCTACGTCTTTCAATGTAACCGTTATAGTTTACAATATATAGGTGAAACTAAGCGCCGGAAACTAAGCGACGTCTAAAGGACAGATCTAACGAACACAGACGTGCAGTCGAAAAAACGAACATTTTAAAATCTAAACCCACTACTGTTCAGGCTGAAAACTTTCTCTCTCACTCTAACCATTCTCATCCTGACATGCAGTTAATCCCACTAGAGAAAATTTATTCTTCACGTGACTCAGTTCGTAAGGCCCGGGACGCATTTGATAGATAAGGCCATGATTCTTGAACCTCATGGCCTAAACCGCCGTGACGAATTATTGTAATCTATATCCTTATTGTTTTTCCTTTCTAGTTTTTGTGTTGTACGTCATTTCCGCTTCTGCCTTTTCTGCCTTTCCGCTTTTCTGCCGTTCAGTAACATCTGTAAACCTGAAGAAGGCTGGTATGACCAGCCGAAATATTGTTATGAAAAAACAATACACGTTGTTCTGAATAAACTTTGCGGTAGTCTTTGGACTTCTCGTTCTGACAAAGTATAGCCTTTCATGTCAGAAAACATAATTATTGGAGGGAAGAGAAAAAAGCTCCAGTTGAAATTTGTGTACTACACTTTCATTGCAACGGAATGTTATCATGATATTGCCACGAAGAGGAAATTTGTCAATTTTTTCTTGCGGATATCCTAACAAAAGTCTGACTTAAGATTCAGGTTAGCCTGTGTATAGACGTCCCCCCTCCCTCAGAAAAATAATCTCTTCTCCCGATTTTTTTTTTTCTGAGGGAGGGGGGACGTCTGTACACAGGCTAGATTCAGATGTGACCTCTCTCCTCCTTATGCAGAGGCTCCCGCTGAGATGTGACGGCATTTCAAATTCAATTACCAATTAAATAGTACTTCAAATAAAACTATTCTTAAAACAACCAAACAATCTATTTGTGTTTCAGGGTCCAAAACGTATCTACATCCGGGAGATTTCAAATGGTGCATATGTAGACGAAATCGTAGATGTTAAGGACGAGAGGGAATGGGAACTACTTAACTATATGGCCCCGTTACGTCACATTTCTTCGCAGCCAGAAGAGACTTCCTA